AACGTGGGTTATGACCAATTCACACGGAAAGCTGTCACTGCACTTATGCACAACCATAGTTTATATTAACAACGTTTAACAAGAACGTGCCCTGCCTTTGCTACAGGTGCTTCGCTAGCTGATTGGCCAACCATATGGAATTATGTGCTGATCATGTGGTCAGCAAAAAGTTTGTTATAACAACCTCGGCACGTTTCGTGGTGCGTGACAAGCCTTCTAAACATCCGCGACTGTGGATTAATTTGTTCCTGCTTCGACTACGCATTCAGTGTTTGCGGCACCATACGCGGAATTGCCAGACACAGACAATGCGAAAAGAAATTCCTCTGGAAAAAGGTGTAGCGACGCTCTCCCGCTAATGCCACCGAGGACGAAATAATTATTGTTTCTGGCCATTTCATGGTGCTCTTTGTTTTCCGCAAGTTTTGCTTCACTATTTTTCGCCCACTGCAATCGCATTCCGTCAAAATACTCAAAGAACCCGAGGCTGGTAAATAACCTGCGTCGCTGTGCGACTGGCTGGAAGGAGAGTTGCCGTTTACAAGGAGTCATTGCGCGTCGAACGGCCGTCCGCCGTATGCGCCTTAGCGTTTGCCTTTCAGCGCCGCCTTGGCGGGATTCCCGCTCATTTCCCCCCCCCCCCGCTCACCCCGGCCAGCGTTGCTCTCACAACGGCGGCGTAGATAAGCGAATAGTTGCGTCACCGAACACCTGCGTCGACAGCCGCGGCACCGCTGCCAGTGCCTCCTCCTTCTCTCTCTCAACGTTGCTCTCTCAGTCTCTCTGTCTCATCGTCTTTCAAATGCGTTGCGCTGGTCTGGGGTCTTGGTCGCTGTGTGTGTTCTAGCGAACAGGCGCATATTCAATGGTGGTCACGCATGACACCGTGTTCGAAGTGACGCTCGGATTAAGGAATATGCGTGGAGTGGCGGACACGGACAACGTGGGCCTGTTAACGGTGAGTGTACTCTTTTCGTAGGTAGTAATCATACAGCGCTAGCTGGGCGCCTGCAGCAGCTCTGCCGAAGTAGGCTGCCAGCCATTTACAACAGCATGCGTTCGCGGGCCTGTTGCAGATGCCTGATTAAGCGTGTGACTTAACGAGTTCACACTGCTATGCGCGATGTTGTGTAAGTGCCTGCATCACTCATAGAGTGAGTGATGTGATCACTTAACAAGGGCGGGATTAGTTGCTGATCGCACATTGTCTCTACACTGCACAAAGTGATTGATATTGTTTTAAGATGTGCTTTGGGCTACATCGTAATAACATTTCTGTTAATACTCAAATGTGCAACGTGCTTCTGTAGGTGTAAGCGTAAAAAAAGAAAGAAAAAGAAAAAATTATGTACAGAGGCGCACTGTACGAAATGGCTTTTTTTTTGCTTAAAGACGATATAGTTGGAGGTGCTGATATGCCGCGATGCTCCCAGCACGTGCGCCTCGGTCTTTTAAGCTATTTAGGACAAGTGTCGCCAGCAACAAGGAAAGATCTAGCAGACTTCCGAAGGCGCGTTGTTGTGGCCATCGCCGTGCGTTGTTTTCCCTCGTTTCTGCTTGCTGTTTTCGTGCTTTGCCTTCATCTGCGATAACGTTCGGCGTTATAACAGAATCGAGAGAGTATACGTGACTGTGGGAGCTATGTGCGGTAGCTCTAGCATAAGCCATGGCTGCTGCAACGTAGACGGCGTCCGCGCGCGTTGGTGTCGTTCGAGCGCTCCTACTTGCTTGATTGTGTTTAACTGAGTATTTAGGCACGGGTTAAGTTTGTAAATCCCGTGGTCAATTATCGCTAATAGCGTGCCCCTGATTGCCATCAGAGGATGGGCTTGGTTGTCGAAATATGCCAGACGCTTTTTCTGAAAGCAAGCTCTGAAAAAAAATTTTTAAAGAAATACTTTCATACGTGCTAGGCAGTGCCTATTGCAGGCCCGCAACTCTTTAAAAACTGGACGAGCTATCACATCTTTTATCAAATTACAACGAATTAAGATGATTGAATTATAGATGACGAATTTCTGTGCTATATTAGGTGCACAAAACACATGTTCGCCACCCTACGTCTAGAAAGCAGGCAAATAGGAAGCACAGCGTCAAATTTGGATTAGATTCCATTGACGGAGCGTCTTGTGAGGGTAGAAAGAACGAGAAAATTGTTCATTTTTGATGCCCTTGCAGAGGCAGTCAGGATTGCACTGATTGGTGACTTGTAACAATTCCTCAGATTGTTAGAGGCGTGATTAAAGTCAGCAAATCATTTACTTTTTTTTGCAGACCTCTTCGCTAGTGCCACGCCCAAGATCATTTGTTCTCATGTAAAAGAGAAAGCAGAGATGTCTTCACTGTTTGTACACGAAGAGGTAAGTTTCTTAGGCGTTTTGATTAATGCTACATGTTCTGAACGTTGTACTTTAAGAATTGTTTTTCACACTGGCTCACTACCCTAGAAGAAATTTGATTCTTAGGTGAGTTCAGGCTTTCGTAAGTGCCATTGTTGAGCGGTAGTCTTACACTTCACCTCATTTCGGGAATTTGCTGTATGCTGGAAAACTCTTATCTTTATCATACGAAATTATTGGAAAGTATGGGTTGTATGCTTCGAGTTCAGTGTAATTTCAATTACACGCCATTTCGAAGGATACACACCACACATTCTTTATATATGGTGCTGGCAGAACAGCACGAACGTCCTTTTATGAGAAGTCATATTTGCTGTTATTACAGGATGAAAGGGTGCCGCTGACGTCCTGCGTTGTCTACCCTGGCCCCAGCCTAGAGCAAGCCTACTTCCTGAACCTCCACATGGATAACCGAAAAATCTTCCGTGTCAGTAATGACGAAGAAGGAGTGACAGCACTGATGAGTTGATTTTTTTTTATTTTCAACATTGTCTACGGCCGCAAGGCCTTTAACAACCACCGTGATTGAGCGGCTTTTTCTCGGCGGGAGTTTGGAGTTTATCAAAGAAGTTGTTCAGGCAGTACGATGCTGAAAATTTTAGTTTCACAATGCCTGAACAACTTTTTCTAGTGTAATCATGGTAGATGAACAAACATTGTTATTTGTGTAAGTTATTTTGCTTAAATATAGCTGGACCATTCCATGCCAAACGTCCCAGCCACATTGGCAACCATCTGAATTGTATTTGAAAAAAATGTGCTGACTTACTGCGTTGAAAACAGTGAACTGCTAGAATATTTCAGCGAGAAAAAAGTTTTGTTCACGTGGCTGGCTTATAACTTCCTGGCATAATGCCGACTGTGTGCTGTTTGTAGAAAATTTCGTTTTAAAACTACCGCTTATTTTTCCTAAAGCAAGTTTGGTCTACCTGCTAAGTAAATGTGCTTCTGTAAGGTATTTGAAGCTCAATAATAATAGTGCAATTTTTTGCCACATTCGCTTCCAAGAATAAAGCCAAAATGTGTTATGTTTGCATTTTTTATTGCAATATTGCACTTTGTATGAATATCTGAGCAGTGAATACTTACTCCACAGAAGGTATATTTTAAGGGAAAAAATATCTTTATACCTCTCAAGCTGCTGAAATATACGAGAAAATATCACAAATTTCACAAAATCGTCATTTTTGTCCGTATTGAGATGCAATTTGCTCCATGTTGTGATACTATGAAAACTCATCATTATACCTAAACTGAAAGAAAATGAAATTCTTTCTGTAATAAAAATCTTATCGCAAAAAAGGCAGGAAAGAGCGTTGTCAACTGAATTTTATTGAAGGTGCTACGAGCGTTTTTATACTGAGCACAAGACCAGGGCTCATCTGCAACAACACATGTGTGACCATGACAAAATAATTTTAACCGAGAAAAGAATACTCTTTTTCGGAAAAGATAAGTGAAGGTGTACTGATGCATTGATCCTTGGCCTTCCTGATGAAGAGTTCTAAAATCTCTCATTTTTCTGCTTGCTTTATTTCAAAAACCGTGTTTTATGAAACCTAGGACTACACTTACATTCTTTACGGTTTTCGGCCATGAGACTACTATAGCCCTTCTTAACATGTAAAGCATGCTGTCTTGCTTGATCATTTAAGCATTGCCCAGTTTGTCCTATTTTTACTTTTCCACGTGTTAGCGGTATCTCATACACATTAGATTGGCATTCAGTAAACCTATTCTAGTGACGAATGGTGCAAGATTGACTATTCCTGTTGCTGTAAGTACATGCACTTTTGAAAGCTTGCAAGGGGTGGAAAACAACAATGTCATATCTGCTGGCTCTTTTCCTAAAATTGTGAGACACATTATGTACGTAGTAACGTGTGACATGCAAAGGTGATTGGTCATTCTCTTTTTCTTTTGGTCCTGTTTCCTTTAACTTTACTTTTTGCAGGAGGGTTTCACAAACAAGTGTGATGATGCTGTTGGGGTATTGGCTGGTGCTATCAGCCCAGGAGTGCTAAGAATGTTCTGCCTTTTGATAGTGGGCATTCAAAATTAGTAGAAAGAGGAATTGATACCACATGTATTCAGGCCACCCTTCAGAAGTCATGTTAGCACAAGGGTGAGGTCAGGCTTAAAAACCAGATTAAAAGACTAAAAGACGCTGGGTATCCCAACAGAATTATCACACCCGTTTGCAAAACCCTCCTGCGGAAAGTAAAGAAGACAGGACCAACAAAAAACAATGACCAAAACCTTTGCATGTTATACCACATCACGTGTCTCACAATTAAAAAAATAGCCAGCAGATATGATATTAGAGTGTTGTTTTCAACCCCAAGCAAGCATTCAAAAGTTTGTGTACTAAACAGCAACAGGAATAGTCAATCTTGCCCCATTCGTCACGAGAATAGGTGTACCTAGTGCCAATTTAACGGTTGTAAAAGTATTTTTTATCAGGTAAACCAATGATCAGTGCATCACTACACGTTCACTTATCCTTTCCGAGAGAGAGTATTCTTTTCACAGTTAAGATTATTTTGTAGTGCTCACACGTGTCGTTGCGCATGAACACGGTTCTTGTATTCCGTATAAAAGCGCTCGTAGCACATTCATTAAATTCAGTTGAGAGTCGGTGCTCTTTCCTGTCCTTTCTGTCTCTTCCTAAAGTTGTCGCGCTGTGACTAGCACACAACCACGATGAACCAACTCTCCTAAATGAAGCTCTTGTTACGTAACACGTAGACCGTGTTTCGTATGGAAAGAAGGAGCGGTGCTTTTAAAATAAAATTTTTCACATACAACACCTAGACGGCATTCCAGGAAGTTCAGAAGGCAGCCACGTGACCAAATATTTTTCCTCTCCTAAATATTCCAGAAGTTCACTATTTTCAATGCAGCATGAGTTTTTCGAATACATTTGAGATGGTTGCCAAAATTGCTGGGACATTTGGCATAAAGTGACCCAGCTGTGTCATTAGCCATAATTATGCATTACCTCTTTTGTTTTTTGTGTGTCCTGACTCAGTTTTGTGTTCGTTTTTAGCTTAGTGTGTTTCTGATCATTGTATTGGTTTCTTAATTATTCGCTAAAGTTATATGTGCGAAAACCCGTATATGTCCGCATGTACATCATTTCTCATAACCAATTGTTATACATCCACGAATACAAAGCTTAAACCACTGTGATTGTATAGATTTGAAAACGCTATCCATATATATTTTTGTGTGCATCACTTCTTGGGAACGATTGTGTACATGAAGGCATATATAGTGAAATCATGGTGATTGTATATACTTGAAAGAATCATAAGTATATATTTGCCTGTATTTCATTCCTATTAACCGATTGTGTACATGAAGGAGTATTAAACTGGAAACCACTGGGATTGTAGATATTTGAAAGAATTATAGGGATATATTAGCGTGTATTTCATTTGTAGTCTCTATGTACTTGAAGCAGTATACTAAACTGAAACCACTGTAATTGTAATTGCAAAGAATTGTCAATAAAGTGAAACTGAAAGAATATAATAAACATTTGAGGTGTTGCATGTGTAGTGTACGTATACGTGAACGTATCTCTGGTGAAAAAGTTGTGTGGCAGAAGAAAAGTTTATGTTTTATTTGCCTTTTGAATAAACGCAATATGCAAGGGCAGCAAGGCTTCATTTTCTGTAACGCGCATTATGCATATACTTTGAAGTATATATAGATCCAGCACAAGTTCATACATGATGGTACGCGTTTATATTTTTGCCCACACGCAATGAATGGAGCTCGACAGGTGGCACACCATCGATAATCAGGACCACTTTCTTCACGTAGTGTGTAATCAGTGCATGCTGATATCTATTAGTGCAGTCTAAAAGAATACTGCCACCCCTGCCATGGGCACTCAACACCCTTGTGCACCCTTCTCGCACCCTCCTCAGAGGGTGCTAAAAAAGTGATGGACATCGAAGGCACCCTTTCGTAAGGGTGTTTTTGTAACACCCTACAGGTTTCTTGCACGTACACCCTATTCTAAGGGTGCATGGTAAAGCACCATTTTTGGAAGGTGCTGAATTAACACCCTTAGGGTGTCGTCCACGGGACAAGCTCATTTGCACACTTCTGGGTGTAAAAATTTTTACTGTGTAGGTAAAAGCTGGGGTGCCATAGGTGTGGTCGAAACGATGTGACAACGCTCCATTTTTATTGTATAGGTCTTCCAACCAGCTCTGCTGTGTTGGCACTAATTGTCATATGTTATTGGAGTCATCGAAAACATTACCAAACAATTGAACAGCCTAACTTCATTTTGCTGTTTATTCTATGAAGAGGCCTCTCACAACAGGCGATGAATTCATTCTCGAGGAAGTCATTCCCGTTGTCCTCATTCTACGACTTAAAAGCACGACTTTCGAAACGCTCATTATTGAGAATAATGATAACTGCCTGAACTCAGTAGTCACATGTCACACTAAAGTCACAACCAAGCTGCAAGCGAAAAAAACAAAACGCCTAGACAAGATGGGTGCCGTCGTGTTTCTTAGTATGCATTGGGGTTGTGATCTTGGCGCAAAATCTACCATTGTATTCAGACATGCACCAACTAGCCTAACAGCCAGTTAGACTACCGTAACTGTCCCTGCAAGCACGTCGCTGGGGGCGACGTAAAAGTCACACGCACACCCACCTGCAGCGTGGCAATGAGGATAGAGATGTCCGCTTCCTTTATGCGCAAACCGGCCTCTGCGAACGCGCCGAACGTGTAGAAAATGACCATGTTGATTCCCGAGAATTGCTGAAGGAAGTTGACTTGCGCTGCCAGCAATACGTGAGCCGGTGGGGTGGGTGCTGTCACGTAAACCATCTCGATGGCCATGCATTCCTCTTCTGCTCGGGCACCTCGAAGTTGGAACAGGCACTCGAGACCGTCAGCCTGCATGATGGTGGGTCGTAAAGTGCTTGACATAAGGTAACCGCCAGCACCCATCACAGCTGCACAGCCATGTATGTCACGCCGTCGCGAAAAAGACCGAAGGTCACTAGTCCACCATTGATACTCTGAATTCAAACATGGTTGCAGTTACTTAAGTAACTGCAACGTTTGGTAAGCTGATATTCTTGCTCTGAGTGCGTAATGTGTGTTAATCCAAAAGTAGAAAACAACAGGGTCTCTCGAAAATTGCCTTTAGTATTGAAAATGGAGCAGCATGTGCATGGGTGTGTGCGTCTAAAGGAGTAGTTCATTTCAAGATCATAGATGTTTAGCTGCGCGTGCTGGGGCCTCTACTGCGATAACGAACGTGCTCAGCTGTTTTCGGTAGACTCAACGGAAGTCGGAGAGTGGGCTTGTTGGTAGACCATTTAGGGCTCTTGGTTGCTGAGCGAAGTCGTCAAAATGACAAAATAATCAAGGCATGAAGATGACACAGACGTAGCGCTATACCAACAACGTTTCTTTTTCCAGACCCGGCCTCCTGGTACACACTGCAATCGCATCAGTGAACAAGGATGTTGGTGCTAACATTATACAAGGTCACGGGAGTCGCCTAAAAACAACGCAATAACAGAAGATAACCACACAAAAACAGACTATGAGCGTTTCTGCAAAAAACATAACTCTTCAGTCGACAACGATACCGATTGTCTTGCTAACGCAGCTGTCACCAGGAGCACGGCCGCTGGATCAAAGCACACAGGGTGCGGCCTGCTGCGTGCGCCCGAAAGAGCGGGAGAGGCCGAGTTCATTCGCCTGCCGCCGCGGCGCCACCGGTCAAGGACAACGAAAAGCGGCGGAGTAGGGGTGCGCGCGCGAATTCCCGGGATGTTTTAACTCGCGACTCTTCGTGCTGCAAGCGGACACTTTGAATTTGATATCCTCTCAGTGCTTTGTTCCACCCTACTACGGGACCCATTCCCTTGTGACAAATGGTTTATCGCTACTAAGGGAGACGGAGTGGCCTCGACTAAGCCATCCCGCCCCTGCAACAGTCAGCTTTAAATTCATGCTTATGACAAGTTTGCTCCGTCCTCAGGCCACAGGATTAATACACATATTTCATATTATTTTACAAAAGGTCTTGAAAGAACTTTCACACCCCTTTTACGGCATTTAACTATAGCACAACGTTTTAGCTTCTCGTTCAAACCACTTTTGAATAAAGGCCATGATTTTATGTTTGCCTTTGTACGTTGTCGCGACTGTGGATTACACAACCTTCAATTGATTCCAGAGTATTTCAGGAGCTATAATAACTCTAAATTAGCATCCGTCTACATATTGCCCGTTCGAAGACTGTTGATTGTGAAATTGTCTTCTTTGCTCTGCATGTGGAAACAATGAAAATGACGGGTGCTTACAATGAAACGTGCGTTTATTAACTGGAGCTCTACAATCTCTAAAAGATCAGTATATTTTCTAATACAGCAGAACAATTTTGCCTGCATTACAAGGTAAAAAAATGGAGGTGCCATGGTCCTCAAAGGCGCAGAACTTTTCTGGGGAGGGGCTTGTGTGCCAGCCTTACAAGACGTTGCACAGTGGCACTCACATTCCCTGCCCAGTTAGCTAAGAGTGGTCGAAGCAGCTTTTTTAAAAAAAAACATCACAGATCTGGTTCGTGTGCTGAAGGCTGCCCGAACCACACCGAAGTGCAGGGCAAGTAACCAAATGTGGAAGGAGGGCTGAGTGAAGAAGTTTACACAGATTTCCACTTCTTCGAACTTCAGTGTCTTTCATCACTTCACTGACAAAGTCACATGCGAGTTTGCAAATTTTCATGATCTCCAGGTTGGGATACCGAAGTTCTCCGTTATCGATTTTCTTCACTAAATCGTAGATGCTGCCACACGGTTTCGTCTCTTGCAGGAGAACCTTGCATGATTCACAGGGCAACTGCAAGTAATAAAATCAAGCCAAATAAAATTTTCATCAAAAGTACATGCAACAAGTATGTTGGCTCCTTTTCTTACTTCGCTTAGCTAAAGAAAAATATTATCTAAATTTCGTAAGAGTGGGAATGAAACAACCTGCGGCAAAAAGAGTGGCATACACGCATATCTGGTGTCGACCCTTACAGTGGTGGCACACCGGCGGGGCGGGACCCGCATCCTGATTCGGGCCGGAACCCTGGCTCCGGACTGACCTGAGTTTTTCTTCACTCGAGGTCAGCCTGGAACCCTGCCCTTGGTTTTTAGTGGCGAAAGGGAGGACAAAAGGAGAAAAATATGAGAAAGAGGGAGAACTGCTGGTTCGCATATTATAGTTAACATTCGAAGAAGGCGAAAGTGAAGTGAACATTGTTTAAGACTGGCTGGCGCGCTAGCGACGCGTTCGAAAGAATGCAGCAAATAATGCAAAGCTTAAAAATAACCGTCCTTACCTTCTCCTCACATGCACGCGCGATGTATCCGGCTAGGTATACTAGGGGTGCTAGTTCGAGGTCATCCGGCACAGCAAGCCAAAGATTTAATACTTCTAGCTCATAGGAAAGCCGCTTAGCACCGAGGACGACCGCAAGTGGCACGGCCGCGGTGTTGCCTTCTCGGGCTTTGAGTTTTAGAGGTGCATTTGTTTCGGAGCTATGGGGAGCGTTTCCACTCTTAGCAGTTTGGAGGATTCCAACCTGGGGAAAAAAGTGCGTAGGTTACATGGGTGTGCTCTCCAACGGGCACCAAATATACCTTTAACAGCTTTTCGGCTGTGAAGACCGCGGTTCTTCCATCAACTCTATCGTTGCCTCCGTTAAACTGTCGAAAGCAACTGAAGAGGGACTCCACGGGGTCGCTGTTCAAGGCACGGGTCGAGACTTAGCGAAAGCTGGAAAAAAGTTTGTTTGATACCTAAGTCAATACACATATACGTAACTGCGATAAAAAATATGAAGTTGAAAAAAGAAAAACCTACTTGTTGTCTAATAGATGTTGAATCAATGCCACAGTTGACCTCGTCGTCATTATCGTTGCCTCGCATGTTTCTTTCGTCATTTTCTTTTTGTTTTGCCACCAGAAAGCTGAATCTCCTCGATGTACGTGATGAAGTCTACTTCAAGCCATGAAAGACGGTCGTCGTCGATCAAGTAGAATGGTTCTTCCCTTTGACCGCGCGGCTTCACAGCGCCAATATTGTGAAGGTCATACCACTTCGACACCATTTTCATGAAAGTGATGGTGGGCAAACAGTCCTGAAATTCCGTCGCATCAGGGTGGCATTGCGGGTTTTCTTGTAGGAACTCAAGCGTTGCTATTACGACTGGGGAGAAAACTTGCGTAGCCCTTGACACTTTCATCTTTTCTAAGTTGTTCGGTTCAACGTGTGACTGTGTTAGGAACCTCACTGGCTTTACGAGTAGCTGTGACTGAATGCTGAGTAGCTTCTTCAAGTACAGTCCACCTTGAATTAGATTATCTCCGTCCATCATCTCTCTTTCCACAAGATTATTTCTGAAGTTCTTGATGAGGTGATTCGGATCAAAAGACAAAAAAAGAGGATCACTTTGTCGCAATGGATGTGGCACTACATGCGCAAGCATTCCGTCCTCGGAAAGGCTCTTGAAGAGCGCAACATTTGACTGGTGATTGTCGGTAACAATCCTCGTTACACGGAAACCCACATCTCCGACTGCCTTCATGACATTCATTGTCATAGAACGAAGTTGCTCACTCCTGAGGCACCGGGTAAAGAAGTACCCAACTGTTATTACATAGGCAGTTGATAGCCCTCACAGGACGAAGCACAACAACCTGTTCGCCACTTCAGGAGTTGCACATGATTGCTGCTCAGGACCCATGTCAACGATACCGAAAACCTTATCAAGTTGGCGATCGTACATAACTTTCTGCTGTATCGCCATTTCATCGATGATTAGGGAGCAGAAGATTTCTTGTTCGACTTGTAGCGCTTGAAACTCTGCGCGGAGGCGTTCTGTTATGAGTGATGTGACGCTTATTTCGCCTGTTGAGTGCCCGATGTACTTCTGTAGTGTGGCACGACAAGGCAACTTGAACAGGCCTCTTGTTCTCACTTACTCGTAACCTTTGTTGGAGCACGCTTTCCAGAGGACGCACTCCCTCAGAATTGATTCAGTGTACGCTGGCTTCTTGGAAGCGAAATTCGACACTTGATTCTTGATAAATTCGGCGGTTTTATGGCCTTCGTCTGCGGCTCTTAGTACACTCACAAAACAGGCGATTTCTTTGTTGCTTTCGAAAGCTTGAAGCCGTTCACGAACCGTATCGTGCTGGCTTTGGGGCGTCTGCAGTGACTTATTGAGGCAGGAAATTTTCCGCTGCAGGCGGTTCGTCGTTTTCTTCGCATCCTCTATCATCCGCTTAAGGTCAAGGTCTGTTTGAGACATTTTATCTGTACATGAACTGGTTTGGCACATACTATCAGCAGGCAATGAACAGTCCCACGTTCCGTCCGAAGACCCGCTTGGTGCAACATGTTCTTGATCTCCGAAGAGATCAGGCTCGACATCTTCGTGCCTGCTTTCATCTGGGCCATTTCGTGCACTCTTTTTCGCGCGAGCTGATGAACCACCATCTGGTACTTCTCTTCGAGGCCACTTTCTTATCCTTGGAGCCCTTGGCTTTTGCATATAGGACGGGTAATTGGGGAACACCGTCGGGATAGCAGTTGGCAGGAGCATTCGCAGTTCGGTGCCTTTCTTATAGTCATTTTCGGTGACGTGAAGGGAACAAACCGAAGAGCGGTCACTGGGTACCCACCTCGTTTCTTTTCCGCCATATCCCTGCCGGGAGATGTTCGTGAGCCATGCTTGTCGTCGTTCAGCGCTCGATGGAAATTCATGGTAGCTCAAACCGGGATTTTTCTTTGCGTTCGGCGTGCACAGTGGAACACAGCAGTTTTTCGCATACTAACTGGCCACTCTAACTACCTAGCTGGACTGTGAGGCAGATCGCATCAAGCTGAACACGACTATATTTGTTTGGAGCATGTAACCTCATTCCGCGGCGAGAAATTGGCGC